ACCTTGCACTTGGCCTTGTTGAACCTCATGAGGTTCACACAGGCCCACCTCTCCAGCCTGTCCAGGTCTCTCTGGATGACATCCCATCCTTCTGGAGTATCAGCTGCACCACTCAGCTTGGTGTCATCTGCAAACTTGCTGAGGTTGCACTCGATCTCGCTGTCTAAGTCACTGATGAAAACATTAAACACCACCGGTCCCAGTATGGACCCCTGAGGGACACCACTCATCACCGGTCTCCATCCGGACATCGAGCCATTGACCACTACCCTCTGGATGTGACCATCCAACCAATTCCTTATCCACCGAACAGTCCACCCATCAAATCCATAGCTCTCCAATTTAGAGAGAAGGATGTTGTGGGGGCCCACGTCAAAGGCTTTGCAGAAGTCCAGATAGATGACGTCCATTGGTTTTCCCTTGTCCACTGTTGTTGTCACACCATCATAGAAACATGTTTGTTTCTTTTGGAAGAGAAAAGACAAACTGCTTAATTTTAAAAGCTATATAACAGCTGGTTCCAAGTCACTGTCTTCACTTCCTAACAAACGCAGAGCCTAAATGAAGATTACAAATTTGTATCTTTCAACAATAGTGTGCTTGTGTGTGCATGCATGCCCAAGAACCTATTTTAATATCCATTTGCTGAGCTGCTGTCACACTGTACCAGAGCTTGACATTGCAGTCTCACTATATTACTGAAACACAGCCAAATTTTACTTACTACAAGCCATCTTAACAATGATACAAATCCTGTATGTTTTTTAAACAATAGTACTCCTGAGATTCTGTTATTCTCTTTCAGATAGTAACAGTGACAAAAATGTTGAAATGCAAATGCCAAGCAAAGAATGTCAGCTAGAAAATTACTTCTGTAATTCCAAATCTGTCTGAAGAAGCAGAAATTAATCATGATGAGGTGTGGGGGAGGGAAGGAAGAACTCCTCCATAAAATATTACACTGCTAGTTCTGGAAAGTTTACATATTTTTCATTTACTATTGTATTCTCCTAGGAAGTTGCTGATGTATGGATGCCTTCATAAATTCCAAATAGAATAGTTTTGAAATACGTAACTTTTAGAAATAACTATAATTACAAGAACTGCTGAGCTATCATTCATTTTTTCTGCAGAAGAGTCACTTAACACTGCTCACCTTCAAATTCTCATATTTACTTGGGCCCTAGGAATGTATCACAATCCTTTACACCACAATATCACACTTGAGATCAAGTAGCCAACTGAGTCTAATTGTTGTGCTTTATTTCCAATCCTGCTTCTCACCTGCTACTCTCTATGCTTCAATTTCCCTCTGTATATAATAATAGTAATAATTATCACATAACTTTGCGAAATGTTTTGATATCTACTGCTGAATAGTGTTGTAAGGCAGGGGCCAGTGATTGCCGTTGTGGTGTCACAAGCACATTTTAATGGCACAGAAGAGCTGGATTGCTGAGCCACTGTATTTGAAAAAAATACCCTGTAAGTGTCAAGAGACTCCAGAGCCTGACTCAGCCATAAGACTGACTGATTCTTTCAGAAGTGTACAAACCAGTAGCCTATCCTACCTCACTCAAACCTTTAGCACAACCTTCCTTGTATTTTTTACCAGTGTCCATCTTCTCCCACTGAGCAGGTATTTTCCAAGCAGCAGTACATCAATTGCTTCATTAAAGTTCAGAACAACTAGAGGTAACTGAAATAAATCAACTCTCAAGCCCCCTTTTCCTCAAAAATCCCAGCATAATCTATCCAGTAATGCTCTGATAAACAGTTTATGTTCTTAATTTTCCACGCCCTCCCCAACCTGCCCTCCCCAACCCTATTCCAGAGGCTGGCAGACTGCTGGTGCCAAACTAAGGCAATTACCTTGCCTGTATCACTTCTTTTATTTTTCCTTCTTCCTTGGCTAGAGTTAAATTCTCCTTCCTCATTTTTTCTTGTAAGCAAAGTTGTTTAGGATTTCATAATTCCACCTACATGTGCTAAGTGCACAGCACCTCTGCTTCTTCCCCTGACCTTCCTTTGCTTTGAAGGGATGCTAAAGGGTTAAAAAAAAAAGACCTTTGTGAAGCTAACTGTAGCGAGAGTGTGATAAGAACCTGAGTAAACAGACCATCCTTGAGAAAGAAAGTTCAGCCTGTGGCTTGTAGCTGATAGCTGTAGGATGTGGCTCACAGTGGGAGGTGCCAATCTGACTGGGAGCTTTCCAGATGGTATCTCTTTGTAACAGAATTAACAGATCCTGAATGGGTTCTTCAAGTCACTCTGAAGAAGTCAGGAGACACCAAGATAAGCGACCCCCAAGATAAGTGCAAAAGGACCAGACCTTGCCGCTCAGTGAGTCAACTTATGACCATCTGTGGAAGAAAGGCCCAGAGATCATGGAAAATGACCACTGAGAAGCCCCTCCACAATGATCACTGGGGACCCCCAAAAGACCACCGACTCAAGTCACTGAGCATGCGTGATTGGGAGGGGAATATGTAAATGAATTTCGGGAACTCATTGTCATATGTATGTAAAACTTGTATATCAGCTATGCAACTAACCCTGTGCGGCACGCACATTAGGAGGAGCGATCCCCTGTGCGTCCAGCGCTGCAATAAAGAATACCTGCTTGACAATCATCAAGACTATCGAGTCCTGATTTCGGCTTTTCACGGCTGGCTTCATACTCGACTATCAAAGAGGCCAATTATCATCTCCTGACGCACATTCAGCAAGCCGAGATCCCCCAGGATCCCCTCGTTAATACGTGAAAGGCGGCTCAAAATTCCCGCCCCGGGTGCCTGGGGGCGCAGGCAGGGCTGTGCAGCCTCCCCGCGCCCCCGCCGAGGCACCTCACGCCGAGGGGCGAGGGCGGCAAGCCTCCAGCCG